GCAAGGAATCCTTTCTCCGTATGTGATCTCTCAACTATGAGTATCTGTCAGAATATGAAGTTGTCTCACATCGTCTATACAGAGAAAATAGGCATAACTTATAAGTCTAGTGGGCTACTCTTCCCAGGGATGGAGCCAGGATTTATAACTTATCCTGGCTAAAATTATACTCCCTTCTATTCTTTTGAAATATTGTTAAAAGCACATAAATTAAGAAAAACTTTATTGCCAATATTAACCTTATTTAAAGAAAGTTAATATTAATCAATTTATTTCTTTTTAGTTTTTTTTTTATGTTCTTTTAATAGAGAGTAAACGCATCATATTCCACAACTTTCCTCCCAAAATGTGTAGTATGTCAGTTAAATGAGGATAACAATGAAAAAATATTTACAAAAGATCTAAAACGTCATTTATTTGACTAGTGGTCAATAAAGACAAAATGACAAATAAAAATAATAGGAGGACGTAACAGATATTACATAAAAAAATTATGATAAAAAATATTATTTTAGTGCTTTTGTAAAAAATATTATTTGAAATATATTCATTTGACTAAAATATATATTTCTTGTAAAAATTTCGGACTGTACTTAAAAAAATCAATGATATTTCATTATGACTACAAGAAAACAAAAATTAAATAGAAAAAAAGAACACTTATTGGGAACAAATTTAAATTGTTGAATATTTATTTCTCAAATTTCGAAGAATTATTTAATTTTATCAAGATAAAATCCATGAAAATTGAAATCTATGAGATGGTTATTTAAATTTAAAATGATTCGATAATTTTATTTAATGTAATTATAGCATATATTTTAATTAGTTGAACTAACATAGCATTTACATTTGAATTGTAATATATGTTGTCATTAAAGTGAGCTCTACAACATTACTCTAACAGAAAAATCAATATACAATGTGTGGAATTGTATTATTGGAATTGGAGCTATTCTTTCGTGTTTGTCTTTTCCTGTGGACCCCACAGCGGAATAATTGCACAACCTGACACGTAGGACGTAGGAGTTCTTTAAATCTTAGGCTTAAAAGTTAAAACACAGCTTAATAGGAAGATTATAATAATAATAATATCCTGGCCCAGTCTTATTTTGGTTAAAATTCAAATACAGAAAAATCAAGCTAATTATACCTTAATAAAGAACAATTAATAACGCCAATCACGTTATTTTGCCGAAATATAATAAAGAGTACCAAATCCAGACGTAAATTATAAATGTTTTCCTTTTTAAATTGTAACAAACTGAAATATCCTCTTTTGATTAGAGATTTCAGTTTATGGTCAATTCTGCCGTGCCAAGCACATACGTTATTCTAGAAAAGAAAGAAAGAGACACAAAAAAAACGCGAGATATATCGCGATACGACTTTTTGGGTTATGCTAGAGATAGAGATAAGTTGTAAGAGCCAGATATCGCGCTTTCAATGAAAAATAAAATCGGCATTACTATTCACCCATCTCCCTATTACTAGTTACCGTCCTCGTAGGACAGTTTTGCCCCTGAAATTTTTTTTCAAAAAGTAAAAAAAAAAAATTGTCCTGTCGCCGAAACCGGACGGCCCAAATGGCGTCCGGTCGGTCAGACCCGACACAACCGTGTCCGTACGCGATTTACGGCCGGCCGGACGACCGTCGTCCGGCCCGAAGGTCGGTCGTGACCGGTCCGACCGGCCGGACACATTTTTTTTTAAAAAAAAATAATATTATTATTTTTTTATTATGTTATATATTTAAAATAATTTGTTATAAATTGGACATTAGTATAAAAAAAATTATTCAATTGAAGTTTAGGAAATAAAAAAAAATCATTTAACTGAAGTTTAGGAAATCTATTACTATATAATACAGTTAAGAAAAAATCATGAAAAAATTCGAAAAAAAATAATTTATTTTTCCGCTCAAATGTTTATTTATCCCCTAAAATTTTATGTGAAATATTTGGCCAACGTGAAATTTGGTATATCCCGCCCATGAAATTTGGTTTTGCGGATTAATTTCTCACGAGATTCCTAAAATCATGAGTTAATTCCATTTATGATTCTTTAATTTGATTTAAATTTGGAAGCGATTTTTATATATCATGTCAATCTTAAAATCGTAGGTATAATTTCGTTGGTGTAGAAATAACAATTGGATGAATGTTTGATTTGTATGGAAATTTCTTAACATCTTTAACATGGATAAAAAAACTAAGATATATGTCAAAAAATGTTAAATACAATTAAATTTATCTATTCTTTTTTTTAAACACCTACAATTTTATATACTATTTATTAAAAAATGTCTACAAACATCTGTAATAATTTAGCTAATTTTCATTAATATAAGTTGCAAGATCATTTTTAAATTAAAAGATTTACATATTATGAAACAAATCGTTCTTTACAAAACTTGAATATTCGATTAATAAAATGTGGATTCGAAACTTTTAAAAAATATTTCCTTCAGGAAAGTGAAAGGTTTCGACGGGAAATTTATTTAATAGATGTAATTTTAATGAGTTGATAAAACTAAATAAAGATGTGATTGTGATGAGTTGAGTCGCATGATCCAGGAAAAGTAGCAGCGGAAGCAAATATAATGGAGGAGGAAAAAAAAAATAGAAATAAAATATAATTAATTTTATAATCTAAATTTGGTTATTAGATTTTTAAATTCAAACATTTACAGGAAAAATCACAAGCAGATTTTTGGGTAAATTTTATTTTATCTTGATTTTCATATAATCACATTTCCAACAAACTAATTAATATTATATTTTTTATCTACATTATGTAACTAAATTTTTTATGATATAACTAATATAATATCTTAACTAATTAATCATTTATCTACCGGAATTATCTCTCTAACAAACTTGCCAATTTTTTTTGAAATTAAAATGATATGACTATTCTTACGAAGATACTTACCAATATATTAAACATTTAGAAATTTGTTTAAGAAAATGAGTTATCCCTCATTTTACTTTATTTGAAATTATAAGTTTTATTTTAAATATATTATTGTTTATTTTTTCTTACGTGGAAATGTTTATTCTTTATTATCTAACTGATAAATATTATTGATTTATCTCCTTAATAAATGTTTATTATTATTTTTTTTTTCCTTACGTGATATAATCTAAATTTGGTTATTAGATTTTTAAATTCAAACATTTACAGGAAAAGACCACAAGTAGATTTTTTAGGTACATTTTATTTTATCTTAACTTCCATATAATCGCATTCCTAACAAACTAATTAATACAATTACAATTGTTTAACTAGAATTTTTAAAATATAATTAATATAATATTTTAACTAATTAAACTTTTGTCTAGTCGAATTTATCAAATTAACAAACTTGCCAGAATTTTTGAAATTATAATAGTAAGATTATTCTTACGGATATACTTACCAGAATATTAAACACTTTAAAAACTTTTTGAAAACAATTTTAATTATACCATCTTCTACTCTATTTGAAATTCAAAATTAAAATTTTAAACATATTCATAAACAAGCTAATTAGTATAATATTTTTTTACCCACATTTATATAATCGTATTTCTTAAAATATAATTAATTTAATATTTTAACTATTTAATCATTTGTACTTCTTAAATCAAAACCGTAAGGTTTAATAATATTACTTAAATAAAAAATATTGTATAAAAAGAAGTATTTAATAATATATATTTTTCATTGTTTGTGTTTATTTTATTTTCATAATAGACGAGATGTGAAAAATATAAATAATTATATTTAAAATAAAGTCTAAAAAAAGGTTTAAAATATGAGCTCCTACGTGCATCGCACGGGATATACACTAGTACAAAAAAAAAACCATTCAACTTAATGTTTTACAATAAAAATTATATTATTACATGCCAACATAAACATAAACATAATTGAATATCCAGCTGTCTTCGGACACCACCACACCACCGCTCGGCTCACGCTCCGGCTGGACTCCGTCACCTGAGAAACACATAATGGGAGCGTGAGCAAAAACACTGGACTCCGGCTCATGTTTGTTTAGTGGATTTATTCAACTAATTATTATTATATGTTATAAGTATTATTATAATTATTACAATTAATTATAATTACTATTAGAAATTATTATTATAATTATTATAATTAGTATAATTAATTCTAATTATTATTAGAAATTATTATTTTAATCATTATAATTATAATAATTATAATTATTGATCATCGTCTGTCTGTCCCGACGAACGGACGCATTAACACCCCGACTTCTAGTGTGTCAGGTGTCAGAGCCATCATAATAGTCATCGAACGCCTCGTCGTCGTCCTTGGCAGAAGATTGTCCAGGGTATGCTAACACCCTGAATAAAAAATATAATTAGTAATTTTTTCATATGTAATAATTACTGTAATAAAAATTAAAATAGATTATAATTAATTTTTATTTTAATTTATAAATTTTATTATTATAATTTATATTTATTATTATAATTATTATTGTTGTAATTTATAATAATTATTATAATTAATTATAATTATTATTACAAATTATTATTATTAATTATAATTATTATTAGAATTTATTATTAAAATTATTATAATTAATTCTAATTTATAATTATAATTATAATTATTATTATAATTATTATTATTATAAGAATTTATAATTTATAATTATTATTATTAATATTATTTTTATAATTTATAATTAATTACAATTTATTCAACTTATTATTATTATAATTTTTAATTATTATTATATTACCTTGCTAGAGAAGAATGCTTTGCCGAGACCGTAGGATTTTTTCGACATTTTTTTGGATTTTTTTCGGTGCTCGAATCGCTCGTTGAAAGTTCGGGAGTTTAGAGAGATAGAGAAAAAAAAAAAAAGGTTAAGGGCAAAAGAATAAAAGGGGGACGGTGTTAGTAATAGAAGGCGATGAATAGTAAATGAAAAAATAAAAATACTGAAATTATTTTATTAGTATTTAAAGGTGAGTGCATTAATATGCGACGTCGCGTGGTCCCTTCTTCAGTACCTCTTGACTCTACCCAAGAAGTAAAAATTCTCCCATGGAGTTGATAACCACGCGCCAGATGCGTCCATTTTCATTTAATTAAATAATTGTTCTGGGTGTGATTGTTTATAAACTAATATTCCATCCTATTTATTTATTTATATATAAATAAATTTAGTATAAGTTATTTGTATGCATGTAATATTAAATTTATAAATTAAATAATAATATTATATTATCATAAAATATTATAAATTATATTTATGCATATAATATTTAAATTATAAGTTAAATAATAGTATTATATTTCAAAATTTGATCATTGGTTAAAATAAATAGTACATAACGATTTGATTACATATTAGTCACTATATTGATTGCATAAAATGTAATAAATTATGTAAGTTTGTGACTTTGAGGGATCATGACTAATTAATTAGCTGAAAAAGATCAAATTATTATAACAACTGTTTTGACTTATTTGGCATTAAATTAAATTAATTAATTTAAAAACAATCGCTTAATAAAATAAAAGCGTATGATATTTTTGAAGGTTTGGTGTAGTTATTGATAAAGTCAAAAGATAGGTATAGTTATTAATAAAATGAAAGGATATTTTTTAACTATTGAATAGATTATTATGGCTCGTTATCAATGAATAAAAAGTTGGAGAGATTTGTTATTAATGTTGAGATATCAATTCTAATGTAGTTTTATGGTAGTTATACCAATAAAATTTTTGCAATTGGTTTCTATATATGTTTTGACACATATTTCGGTCTACATATGGGTGAGTGCCCAACAGAACAGAAAACGCATGATTTGTGATTAAGGATAAAGATTGATTTATTATTAAAGATAAATAGTTAAATTTGTTTTAATATTGTGGAAAATTGTGTTTATAAATTTTTAAAAATTCCATCAGCTGAGTTATTGATAAATCTAAGGATTCTAAAGTAATCCTCTTGATTGAATGACTTTTTTTAGAACACAATAAAACATATGTTGGTATATGGTTGGATACTAATAAAAAATCACCATGATTTGTTATTAAGATGATAAATAAGATTCTTTTGTAACATTGTGATATATATTATAATAAAATTTTCATAATTAGTTTTCAATTTTTATTTTGCAATTACATTGCAAATTTATTATGCATATTCAAATATGTTTTCTAAAAAAACCTATTTAATAGACGCTTTTTCTAAGACATATTGTATGGTTGGTTACCAAAAGAATAAGAAATTGCAGTGATTCGTAATTAATATGAAGAATCAGATTTTTATTGCAATAATTAGCACAAAATAATTTTTAAAATTGATATCACTTTATTTATATAGAAAGTCATGCGATTAACCAAAATGCACGATTTTTAACAAGTAGGTATGATTTTCCATTTTCTTTTTATAAATATTAAAGTAATACTATATTTCCTTTAATAGTAAGTCGACCTATTTAATTTAAAGTCAACGTTTTATTATAGATTATTCCATTAACCTCTTTCAATGTATATATATATATATTATCAATATGATTAAATAATATCAATAAATCATTCTTACACATCATATAGACTTTAATTCATTGTTCATCTATTCATATATTTTAACTATCTATTACTATTAATCATCTCTCTCATACTTTTACATCACAAATTTAACTATTATATTTTAAATATTATTTAATATACAAACTTAAAATTTCATTCAATTCTACGCTCAATTAACTTTACTCAAAATAACTCACTTGATTCAATCAAAACAATTTTGATCCTTAACGAATCACACCCTAAATTGACGAGAATCATTCTCAACTTCCTGCAATTGAAGACAATACCAAAAGGCCTCTTTTACTTTATGCATGAGATAGGATTGGATATGATTGGATGACCGAGGTATCCAATGTTTACTACACTTGATGGGATAGGATAATTAGCTGATGTGGCATGACATGGCGTGTGGGGCCCACAACTGCTTTATCGTTAAAATGCCGATTATTACTGTCCCACCTCTGAGGTGGGATACTTTTATGCTGGATGTGAAATTACTATTCCGTCCCCAAGGTACCCGATAGAATGACCAAAATGCCCTCATATTTTAAAAAATTTACGTTTCAAACCAAAGAACCAAAAAATGGATTCACGCAACCAAGTTTTGATTCTTTCTTCGAGCTTTTCATTTTTCATAATCTGCATCTTTGTACCTCTCATTCGGAGCTCTAGCGAAAACATGGATCGCACACAGGTACCAAAAAGCAAAACAAAAAATCCCCCTCCACCGCCGGATAACCCCTTCGTCGCCGATGATACCTCAGACGAACCCAACAAGCCATCCCCCGCCCGTCCAGAGCCCACCTCTGCCGCCCAACTTCTCCTCTCCAAACCATACCCGCCGCTTGAGCCGCCTATCGCCTCCATCTGCAGACACGACGAAGAAGACCAAACACAGTACTTTCAGATCTCATACAATCACGGCCCTCGCCCGTTAAAGACATACCATTTCTCCTTCTCTTCTGCCTCCTCGTACTATGCACTTTCGGATTTGAGATTTTCTCCTCTAGAATTAGGGTTTTAAAAGAGGAAAAATTGAAAAAAAAAAGAAAGGAAGAAGGATATTATTCTTAGGGCTATAATTGTTTTTTAGATATATCCTTTAATTATATCCAATTAGGTAAATGTAAGACTATTTTTTGAAAAATACATCATTATTTGTAAACATCATATAAAAAATCAAGTCACCTTATTATTAGTCCAATCCCATCTCATCCCATCCGAAAAAATAAAAGAGGCCAAAGGCAATTATATATTGTACAAAAAAACTACTCCATTTAAATTAAATTCAGTCAATGGACTTTCTAAAATGAAGGGCAATTTCGTCTAAATGAAGGCACGCAGAAAAAAGCTGGCGTGGAATTCTTATTTATAAATAATTATTACTGTGTCAACATTTTATCTTGGGATAAATACGGCCAAAAAGAAACATATTTTGCAATTTCCTTTCAGGCTTTCAGCTGAGATTTAAGTAGAAAACGATACGTGTCATGAGTGATTCATTTGTGGCTCAATTGACCGTTGGATTCTCCTCGAGATACCTTCCAACAACACGTACGTACTAAAACAGTTGAGAATGACTATTGTGCTCTATCCCACTCCCACACACAATAAAACCCCTCCCATTCTCATTAAATAATTTGTCATAAAAACAGTCTCCCAATCAGGTTCTCAAAAAAGTGTGTGCCATTCAAATTCAACAATTTAACTTTTTCGGGGAGTGTTCCCGATAAAGATAACTTTTCTCAAATATATCGTATCGCGATAAGTTGTAAAGAGATGCAAGTGGCATCTCCCGTAATTTGGTCCTAGATATTGTCCGAAAAGTGGCGAGACAAGTCCGAGTAAAAGGCCTTGTCGTTTGATGTGTATGGTATGAGTTGGATCTCTGTGATTTCCCTATGAAGTTGAAAGTAATTTCAGCCTTTCTCTATGTATGGTATTTGTATGTTCAATTATAAATTTCTATTAAAAAAAATGATAATTAGTAGAGTTTTGAGAAAAATAAATAGTGAAAATTGTAAAATATACGCGATGATTAAAAGAATAATTTTTTATTCAATAACTTTTGTGATTGCAGAAAATTTCTACTATACAATTAATAATGAAGATCCTGGCCGACCATGTGAGATAGTGTACATTATTTTTACTTAGTTAATGAGTACTAGTGCATGGCCCGTGCGATGCACGAGAAAACAATATTACGATTGTATTATAAATTAAATATATAAATAACATTTATTATGATTTATTCATTGTTTTTAAATTAAATCGGGATTAACCGAGAACCGGTTTGTAACCAGTCTAGTTCGTTTGAATAAAATCTTTGCTCTCGAATCCGTCAACACCAGTCGGTTGGACTGGTAGGATTGATACGATTTTTTAAATAAATATTATTATATTTAAAACTATTTTAAATCAAATTTCATATTTAAATAAAATAGAGATTTATAAATTATTTATCAATTAGTTTAAACATTTGAATTTATAAATTGTTCAAATATCTAAGTAAAACATTTTATTTAAATTTATTACAAAAAGTAATCTAAGTAACACATTTTATTTAAATTTATTACAAAAAGTATAACATATATGTATATTAAAATGTTTATAAATTAAAATCTGAACAAAACTGCAAATGATTTAATAAAATAGCTTGATCGTTTCGATGACGGTCCAATTATGAAAATCTTATATTTATTGTACATTAGTAAATATTATAATAAAATATTATTTAATTCACATAAATATTAATAAAATGATATATAAATATTCATAAATCATTAAACGTGTTGTCATAAAAGTATTGTTAATACGATTATTTGAAGTTTGGACTACATCACATTCACGTAATAAAATATTTTCAATATAAAATTTATATTTAGGTTCAATAATCGATTTGGTGTGGTCGAACTGATACATAACTTAGTCATCTGGGACCAACCAAGGTGTGTCAAATTTTTTGACTATTTTAGAATCACCTAAAAGTAATTCAATCAACCTGGGCAGTACCCAAATTCAATCATCCTATTGATCCCGAAGAAATTTTTTTATTTTGTTTAAATATATTTAATTTTATGAAATAAAAGTATTTTATGATTCATATAATAAATGTCTACACCAAATGATAGTTTAAGATTATAAATTATATATCTAAAAATTAATTAATTATTTTTACTTTATGCATATTAATAAAAAATAAACATAGTAATTTTCAAAAAATTAAGATTAATTGATTGATTATGCAATTTAAAGAATATTTTTAGCGTTCAATATTTTTTTAAAGGCACAAATATAAAGATCGAGATTCTAAAACTTTTGTTATATTTTGAATTGAGATTCTATAAATATAGAGACCGAGATTTTAGTGTTAAAACTTTTGTTATATTTTGAATTGAGATTCTATAAATATAGAGACCGAGATTTTAGTGTTGTTCGTTTAGGGTTTAATAATCTTAGCCGGATTTTTTAAATAATAAAATGAACTAAAGCCCGAAATTTAAGGTAGCATTTAATGTTGTATGATTTTTAAAGAAAAAAATAAGAAAAATAGTAAAAATTACTATTTAAATAGTAATTCTTATTATATATATATATAGATTTTTCAGTTGTATTACGTTTCCTTAATTTAATATAGTAATACCTCAATTTATTAAATAGTAATTTTTAAATTGATTAAAATTATTGAATATGTTATGTAATATTGTCAAAATACGTTTTATAGATTCGCATAATTGCACTAAAACCTATTCTAGTTACAGCCGTGGATGTGTTTTATGATTTTTGTATAAATTATTGAAAATAACTTTATTGAAACTTCACTTTATAATTATGTATTCATTGTTCCAAAATAATTGAGGAAAAAAAAAATGATACTTAAAAAGACAACCATAAATGTAGCCTTTGGAGCAAAAAAATAAGTTGTGTTGTTAGCTCCATCGACAACCGTCCATCTTGTTGATCTAATCCCAAGTGGCCCCGGCTCCTCCAAAACCCTAGTTTAAATGTGCGGCCGACAACACTCTCATTGTACAAACAATAGACCTTGTCAAAATATTTTTACGTATATAAATTTGCTCTTTTTCAGGAATAAAATAAAATGAGATAATTTTCTTATAATAGAAACGAGCTTTCCCACAAAATGAAAAAATATATATATATATATATATAAATATTATTTTTTTTCTTGGCCATATTTTCAAGTATGGTGTTGAGAGCTACATTAAAGTCAACAACTTACTTCTATCTGTACCAAAAATTAGTTTTTAGTAGAATAAACATTATATTAATTAAAGGACAACACTGGACATTATTTGAGCCGATTAGTTCAGAGTTCGTGTTCGTGTAATAAACGAGTCAGATTTATTCTTTTAAGTTCGTGAAAGTACTTGTGCAATAAACTTACAACTTTAAATGTATTTGTTTGAATACAATATTATTTTATTTGAAATATATAGTAAAAAGATAAATAAAAAACGAGTTGTCCTCGAATAAGTTGAACTCGGATCATTTAAGGGGTGTTTGGATACAAAATTGTTACGTTTTAACTAAACCCAATTGGTCAAAAATTGTTTGAATATAAGTTTGTACCAATCAACTCAACTCTCCTATTTTTTATAAATATACATCAATCATTCTCACATGTCACAACATCTTTAATTTACTATTTATTCACTCACATAATTTACCTATATATCCCTTTCAATAATTCCTCTTCTACTTTTATATCACATCAAATTTAATCATTATATTTTAAATATTATTAATTTCAACCCCAAAATCATTTACGCAATCTACTTTTGTCAAAATAACTCAATTTATTCCACCAAATAGAGTAAAAGTTAAAACAGAACAAATATGTATCCCAATAAACGAATCGAACTCAAACTTTCACTAATCAAATCAAGTTGTGTTTAAGAACCGTTTAATTCATTTAACAACCATGCTTGGGCACAACAATTATTTAATTCAATCGTGAGACTGGAGAAATAAATAAATTATGTTAGCATAATGGAACGACATAATGAACGAGAAAAAAAAATGTAAATGTATAATAGTTGTTGATCCGAAGATGATGTGATATGTAACAAATAGAAATGTGACACATATTATTATATCAAAGTTATGTACAGGAGCGGGCTTTAGTGACTACGTTTTAGATCAGATCCAGAAGATCCTCATTTCAGAGGACGGTTCGAATGGTATGAGGTGGAGACTTACATCTTCAGGTGCATTTTCTATGACCTCGGCTTAGGCTGGGAGACCGACCTAACTTTCTCTTCGAGGTCATATGGACCGACCTACTTACCTGTTTTCTTTTGACTCATTCTTCTGTGCTGTATCCCGATCGACGCTGTGATGCAGGCGATGGGGTATTCCTTCCCTTCGCGGTGTTACTGCTGTACCAAGACCGGTGAGTTTCAGATCGAGACTTTTCCCCTTTGTTTTTAGAGAGCCAAGTTGCGAGGAGAGTATGAAAGCATTTCACCACTTATACTCATATACCCCGACCCACCACAGATAATTTCTTTGTGCTCCTGAGTTTTTTCTCATATCGCACGCACTTTAGGCACATGTGCTTCATCATTTCTTGTCTGGTCCTGTGGTTCATATGGACAGAAATAAATAATGCGAAGCATAGGGATGTTACTTTTATGTGCTCTCACATTGGTTTGCAGGTTGATCGGCTCTCTCTCTCCTCACATCTCTGGACAGACTCAGTCCTAGAGACTGAACAAGTTGCACACCGCTCCACCGCTTCGTACCTTTTCCGTTGCTGCCTGTCCAGCACCCACGACCCAGAGCCATTGTTTGACTGAGACCCAATTCCTCTTGGGTTAAGCTAAACACTAACGGAGCTTTCGACCAATTCACCGGAGCCGCCGAAGACAGGGGCCTGATTAGGGATCACAGCGGAGCTCTCATTACCGCCTTCCACGCCCCTCTTCAAGCCTCCTCGAGCTACGATGCGGAGGTTCAAGAGCTCCAGATTGGTATTCAAATTGCAGTCTCTATCTTTTCTCACACTTGGATAGAGTTGTACACTGCCACTATCGCCACCCTCTTGACCTCTGCCCAACAGGACTCGTGGCAGATTCAGCACGGGCTCATGCGTATCAGATCCACACTTCAGTCGATTTGATATCGGATCTCGCACATCTTCTGCTAGGGGAACCGACCCGCTGACTACCTGACCAGCCTTGGTGCCTCCACCCTTAGAGGCGCATTTTCCACCTGGATGACTCCCCTCTCTGCCTTCGTACTTGTAGACATCGAAATTTTAATATTGTATTAATTAATGTCTTTATTATTTTTGGACGTAAAATCCATAATAAATAAGATATAGGATAAGGAAAGAGATTATATCAAATCAAGAAGGACCAATCAAATTGATGTCTTCTTCTCTAAGACTCTCTTTCCTACACCTATAAATAGGGCTCCCCTCAATGGCACAAATCACACCTCAAAATTCAAAGTCTCAATTCAAAGAGTTCTTAATAATTCTCTTGAAGATTGAAAGGTGTTCTTGAAGATCCAAAGGTGTCCAAGTCCAAATCCATATTCGAAGATCCAATCCAAATTCAAGAAGAGAAGAATCAGAGGAGATAATAGAGATTGTACCCGCAAATCATTTGATCAAAATAAATCAAGTTGTACAAAAGTTTTATGTTTTTCATAAAATTTGTTGTTACAGTACTCTTGTGGAGATGGACCAAGCGAGCTACCCTCGTTCAGATTCTAAGAGCCGTCCTATATTTTTGTACTTCGACCTCCTTTTGGCGAGCTGATTGTTTGCCTTGACACCTGTCAGTCCAAGCTCAGATTTGTCCTTTTAACTATTGTCTTCTTTCTCCTTTTCTCTTTTGTACTTTCTGTTTTTGTTTGGACTTGTGTAGACTTATATTTTTTTGCCCATTTAGGATCTTAACTATATATAGAATGGAGATTTGGTATTAATCTTTTAAATCATTATAGAAAAAATTATACTCTCTCCTATTTTTAATATTTGTCATTCTAGCTTAATTGATCATTTATTAAATAAATGTCGTTTTGGCTATTTTGTTCATATTTTTCTCTTTTAACCCCTCCATCAATACCCATTGTCCCTTCATATTCCCAAGAACATACATCCACAATTGTGTCATTAAATAGGGTTAAACTTGGAAAGAAAAATATTTCTTAATTAGTATATTGATAACCAGTATGACAAATATTTAAAATAGGAGGGAGTAGTACCAAATCAACATAATATAAATTTGCAATCAGAACTAGAAATTAGTAATAAAAAAAAGGTGCTAGCGGAAAGCAAGCCGAAGACCAGCTGCGAGCTGAATATACCGAGCCGATTATAACGGACAAGCTACTTAGCCAGCTCTGTGGGCCCCACACCAACGTACGTTTTGATAAAAACCTAATATCTCAAATGATAAGCTACTTCAATTATCGTAGTTTTCAAAGTGATATGTTATTCCACTTATCTCCTCTGTGGTCGCCCCTTCCTATAAAAATCACTTATTTCTGCAAGTAATCTCATAGTTTAATTTATTCATTTTTTCTCTCTTTCCCCTACGATAGATTAGAGAGAGAAAAGTAGAGAGAGGAAAAAAAACTTCATGTCTGAGTCGTGGCTTTGTGTGTATATATCTATAGATATATATTTACAGAGAGAAATCTAGACTCATCTGTATCTCCATCTTATAGATCTCAAGAAGTAAACCCCTATTACTTTTATATATTTATCTATATATATTATTGTGTCTATATATTGTATTTGCATTTGGTGTGAGCATATATATATATATAGTTATTTANGGGATTCCATTTAAAGATGGTTTCATTTATCTGATCCATTAAAATTATATCATGATTTTGTATTTTGTGTTCAAATCTTGCCATTTATTCTGATTGAAAATCATCTGTATGATCTAGGTTTAATTCAACAATTTTTCCCCAAGATTACCTTTTTATTTTGGTTTTTGCTCTGTAATTGAGTCCCTTTGGAATTTTCTTTCAATTGTTGTCCTTTTTTGCTTGGCAATATATATACATATATATTTGCATCAAAATTAATTCTTTTGAAGGTTGTGTTTAGCTATAATTAATGGGGGCACTAGTTTGACAAATTAAAAAAAAAAAGTGGTGGCTGACCCTTTTTATTTATGGCTTTTTGCTGTGGATTTTTGTTTTTAAATTATATTTCTCAAAAAAATTTCTATGGATTTTTTTTTTTTGTTTTTTATTTTCAGATCTGCTACACTATTTGATTTTTGGAATTATTCCCCTGATTGAAACAAGGGCTGGGTTCAAATGTCGTCTCTTAGTAGAGAGCTGGTGTTCCTGATCTTACAGTTCTTGGATGAGGAGAAATTTAAAGAGACCGTTCACAAGTAAGTTATGATTGTAGTACAAGTGTCATTATGTGTTGCCAGCTCTGTTTTGTCTATATATGGGGATTATATATGCAATAATTATGTATCCTTTTTTTCTTTTTCCTTTTCATCAATGTGCCATTTCGAATTATATAGGCTTGAGCAAGAATCTGGGTTCTTCTTTAACATGAAGTATTTTGAGGATGAAGTTCACAATGGCAACTGGGATGAAGTGGAGAGGTACCTCTCCGGTTTCACTAAAGTGGACGACAATCGCTACTCGATGAAGATCTTTTTCGAAATCAGGAAACAGAAGTATCTTGAGGCATTGGATAAGTGAGATTATTATATCCCAAATATGAAAAATCTCAATTGAATCCAGAGGAATTTAAAAAAAAAAAATATATTTATAATTTTTTGATTTGAAATGCAGGCATGATCGCTCGAAAGCCGTTGAGATCCTCGTGAAGGATCTTAAAGTGTTTGCCTCCTTTAACGAGGAGCTTTTCAAGGAGATAACTCAGCTGCTGACATTAGAGAATTTCAGGTATTCTTGTGGTTTCTACTATTTATCACCAATGTGGTAGAAAACAAGCACCTTTCTTATCTGCCTTCAATGCTTGTTAGGGAGAATGAGCAGCTGTCAAAGTATGGAGACACAAAATCCGCAAGAGCTATCATGCTCGTCGAGCTTAAGAAGCTAATCGAGGCTAATCCCCTGTTTCGCGATAAATTACAGTTCCCGAACCTTAAGAACTCAAGACTGCGCACTCTCATCAACCAAAGGTGGATATCAGACCCATTTTTAATCATTGTTTTGAAATGTGATCGTGTGCAGTTTTTATTTGTAAATTTCAACTTTTCTTTGATATTAATTATCCAATGAATGTCCACTAGAGGCTGCTATTATCATTTTACATTGCAAAGAGAAAGTTTGAGACAAAATGCATTTGCAGCTTAAACTGGCAGCACCAACTTTGTAAAACTCCAAGGCCAAACCCGGATATCAAAACCCTATTCGTGGATCACTCATGTGGGCAGCAAAATGGAGCACGTGCTCCCTCACCAGCCAATAATCCCTTGCTTGGTGGGGCTGTGCCGAAACCCGGTGGCTTTCCTCCTCTCGGTGCACATGTGGTGAGTTTTGTATGGATATTTGTTACTGTATCTAGGTAATTGATGGCTTTGTGTTGGGGTTTATCATGTTTTGCTTAATGTGACTGTATAATTTGATGTGGTCAGCCATTCCAGCCTGCTCCGGCACCTGTCCCGACTCCTCTTGCCGGTTGGATGTCTAATCCACCCACCGGAAGTCATCCGGCGGTTTCTGGTGGGCCCATTGGTCTTGGTGCTCCACCGATTCCAGGTAGAGATTCTTATGGTTTTTGCATATGAAAAATTTACTTTCGGCAAGAAAATTTTTCTGTGGAAATTGTATTGCTTGTGGGTTTATGAAACTGGACTGGAGGAAATTTGGGATGTTTTTGATGAAATTATGTACCTGTTTATTAAGCATGCTGTACTTCGCTAAGTGTTATTCTTGCATTTTAAGTACTTGTATGCAAATTGCATTAGTATATTCAAATATTATTGTTGAAAGTGAAAGTTATTACATCAAGATATGCAAATAGACTCTCTATGAACTCTGGTGATCAAGATATTCAAATATTAATGTGCAGAAACACTTGTTAGGAGTTGTTTCAATGTAATGTTTGGTCAGGTTCAAGTTGCCTAAATTGATATAGCGATTTGTTGCATTTTGCAGCTGCACTTAAGCACCCAAGGACACCACCAACAAATCCCGTTGAATTTCCATCTGCTGACTCTGAGCATCCGAGCAAAAGAACCAGACAGTTGGGAATTTCTGATGAGGTGTTTGATTTTATTTATTTTATTTTATTTTTTGTTCCGGCATAATGCTATTTCCTGATATTGCTTTACATGTTCTGATCTTTGTTATTTATACATATAAACAGGTAAATCTTCCAGTGAATGTTCTTCCGGTTTCTTTCCCAGGGCACCATAGCCAGCCTTCCTTCAGTGCACCAGATGACTTGCCCAAGACAGTTGCTCGCACTTTGAACCAAGGCTCATCTCCTATGAGCATGGATTTTCACCCGATCCAACAAACTTTGCTTCTTGGTTGGTTCAAATAATTTATATTCTATAATTAGTTCTGTGATGTAAAAATCTTGGCAATTTAATTGGTTTTTGTTGTACCTTGATAACTCAGTTGGCACCAATGTGGGAGATATTGGGTTGTGGGAAGTTGGTTCGAGAGAGAGGCTCGTGCTGAGAAATTTCAAAGTCTGGGATGTGAGTGCGTGCACGTTGCCTCTACAGGTGCCCACATGCTTTCTTGTTCTGAAATTTCACCCAAAAAACTACTTTATCATGTAATGAAATTATTCAGCTGGATGTATGAAAAATCTCTACTAACTCCAGGCCAGCCTGGCAAAAGATCCTGGTGTCTCGGTCAATCGTGTGATTTGGAGCCCAGATGGGTCTTTATTTGGTAAAATTAGTCTTCAATTACTTCATTTTATTTTTGGTGGATGAAAAGTGGTCTGATTGAGTGACGTTTCATCTTTTTTCTTAAATAGGGGTTGCGTATTCAAGGCACCTTGTACAGATATATTCCTATCATGGAAATGACGATATTCGCCAGCACTTGGAGGTGCATTGCTGTTATCTCATGTTTGTTGATTGAAGTTTCTAATTTTCTTTACCATATTTTGCTGAATGCGAACTACTCTTGTTTCCAGATCGATGCTCATGTTGGCGGAGTAAATGATCTTGCTTTTTCCCATCCTAACAAGCAGCTTTCCGTGATTACTTGTGGAGATGACAAGCTTATCAAGGTTCTTTAAGATGCATATTCTTATTGCCTTTTCTCTGGGCATTTTTCTTTTTCTTTTTCCCCTCTAATATTATGTTTTTTTTTTTTCCAGGTTTGGGATGCTGCAACTGGCACCAAGCAGTACACTTTTGAAGGTCACGAGGCCCCCGTATATTCAGTCTGCCCCCACCACAAGGAGAATATTCAGGTGGATAGAGAAAACTCTGGATAGTAATACTATCATTCTACTAAATTTTTAACACCTCTTGCTAATTTTATGCAATTTCTATGATATGTTTCCAGTTCATATTTTCCACAGCATTAGATGGAAAGATCAAAGCTTGGCTATATGACAATTTGGGGTCGCGAGTCGACTATGATGCCCCCGGCCGCTGGTGCACGACCATGGCCTACAGTGCTGATGGATCAAGGTACATATATACATACACTCCAATTTTTGTGCTGTTTGTTTATCCAGGAGCAGGTTTTTTAATGTAAGCGAGCTCTCGTGCAGGCTTTTCTCATGTGGGACCAGTAAAGATGGAGAGTCCCACATCGTGGAGTGGAATGAAAGCGAAGGGGCCGTGAAGAGGGCTTACCAAGGCTTCCGGAAGCGCTCTCTGGGGGTCGTTCAGTTTGACACGACTAAGAATAAGTTCTTGGCTGCTGGTGATGACTTCTCCATCAAATTCTGGGATATGGACAATACCCAGCTTCTGACGTGCAGTGAAGCTGATGGAGGCCTTCCTGTGAGTCTCTCGGATAACTTGATAAATAAATTAACTAAAAAAGCTAAATGGGTTTTTCTGTAATTAGATTGACTCGACTGTAGTTTTGGTAATTATCCATTAACTTGATATTGTGTATGACTTAACTATGTATCATTACTGATCCTTGTTTTTTTTTCTTTTTTTCTTTTTTGAAGGCGAGTCCACGGATTCGCTTCAACAGAGACGGGACCCTGTTGGCTGTTTCCACCAATGAAAATGGTATCAAGATTTTGGCCAATGGTGATGGTCTACGCTTGCTAAGGACATTTGAAAATCTTGCTTTTGATGCTTCGAGAGCGTCTGAGGCTGCAAAGGTATCTAGTTTCTTTCATTTTGGTGGCGTTCTTTTTTACTCCTTAAAATAAACAAGATTAGTGAATTTTTTTTCTTGTTTGAAATGTGCAGCCTACTGTAAATCCATTATCTGTCACGGCACCAAGTAGTTCAGGACTGGAAAGGGTGGGCTCGGTTGTTGGAATGTCAGCTATGGTTAGTGTCATTTTTTTCTGTCACCACATTTCCTGAGGGAAAAGACAAATGTGCCCGCCTAAAGGAACTTCGTT